ACGACTTCAACGGCAATGGCAACTTGGACTGGGGCGAGTTGTACATACTACTAAAGGTGAGATTGTGTACCGTTATGGTGAGATGGTGTACTGTTATGGTGAGATTGTGTACCATTATGGTGAGATGGTGTACCGTTATGGTGAGATTGTGTACCGTTATCGTGAGATTGTGTACGGTTATCGTGAGATTGTGTACCGTTATGGTGAGATTGTGTACTGTTATGGTGAGATTGTGTACCGCTATGGTGAGAATGTGTACCGTTAGGGTGAGATGGTGTACCGTTATGGTGAGATTGTGTACCGTTATGGTGAGATTGTGTACCGTTATGGTGAGATGGTGTACCGTTATGGTGAGATGGTGTACCGTTATGGTGAGATGGTGTACCGTTATGGTGAGAATGTGTACCGTTAGGGTGAGATGGTGTACCGTTATGGTGAGATTGTGTACCGTTATGGTGAGATTGTGTACCGTTATGGCGAGATGGTGTACCGTTATGGTGAGATTGTGTACCGTTATGGTGAGAATGTGTACCGTTAGGGTGAGATGGTGTACCGTTATGGTGAGATGGTGTACCGTTATGGTGAGATTGTGTACCGTTATGGTGAGAATGTGTACCGTTAGGGTGAGATGGTGTACCGTTATGGTGAGATTGTGTACCGTTATGGTGAGAATGTGTACCGTTATGGTGAGAATGTGTACCGTTAGGGTGAGATGGTGTACCGTTATGGTGAGATGGTGTACCGTTATGGTGAGATTGTGTACCGTTATGGTGAGATAGTGTACCGTTATGGTGAGATTGTGTACCGTTATGGTGAGATGGTGTACCGTTATGGTGAGATTGTGTACCGTTATGGTGAGATGGTGTACCGTTATGGTGAGATTGTGTACCGTTATGGTGAGAATGTGTACCGTTAGGGTGAGATGGTGTACCGTTATGGTGAGATTGTGTACCGTTATGGTGAGAATGTGTACCGTTATGGTGAGAATGTGTACCGTTATGGTGAGAATGTGTACCGTTAGGGTGAGATGGTGTACCGTTATGGTGAGATGGTGTACCGTTATGGTGAGATGGTGTACCGTTATGGTGAGATTGTGTACCGTTATGGTGAGAATGTGTACCGTTATGGTGAGAATGTGTACCGTTATGGTGAGAATGTGTACCGTTATGGTGAGATGGTGTACCGTTAGGGTGAGATGGTGTACCGTTATGTTTTAACATGAACGTTAGTTTAGACTATGTGGTCACAGCAAGATCATGGAATCTGTATCATGGGGGGGGGGGGGGGGGGGTGTTCAGTTGACAGACATCAACACAGGGGCGATGAAATCAGGTTGAAAAATAACTTTAGTCAAACAAAAAATTTAGATCGCGCAAAATGACTGAGATCTATTCTAAATTGACCATGACATATTAAAATCGACAATTAGCTACTGCACACTGACCATGAACTATTTGACATTGACCATGACCTATTTAACGCTCGCCATAAACTATTTAAATCTAATGTGAAATGTGAAAATGCCACAACATCCCCCTCCCCCCAGCACACCATAGTTGACAGCCGTGAGGACGAAGACCCAGACCAAACAGTCAAGGACCTGATCGAACTCGTCATGAAGGTTATCAAGTATGATCCGATCAAAGGCTTCGATCTGGAGCAGTTCAAGTAAGTTCTGGCTGCTTCGAGTAAGTTCTGGCTACCTCAAGTAAGTTCTGGCTACCTGAAGTAAGTTCTGGCTACCTCAAGTAAGTTCTAACTACCTCAAGTAAGTTTTAACTGCCTCGAGTAAGTTCTGGCTACCTCAAGTAAGTTCTGGCTACCTCAAGTAAGTTCTGGCTACCTCAAGTAAGTTCTGGCTACCTCAAGTAAGTTCTGGCTACCTCAAGTAAGTTCTAACTACCTCAAGTAAGTTCTGGCTACCTCAAGTAAGTTCTGGCTACCTCAAGTAAGTTCTGGCTACCTCAAGTAAGTTCAGGGTACCTCAAGTAAGTGCTGGCTACCTCAAGTAAGTTCTGGCTACCTGAAGTAAGTTCTGGCTACCTCAAGTAAGTTCTAACTACCTCAAGTAAGTTTTAACTGCCTCGAGTAAGTTCTGGCTACCTCAAGTAAGTTCTGGCTACCTCAAGTAAGTTCTGGCTACCTCAAGTAAGTTCAGGGTACCTCAAGTAAGTGCTGGCTACCTCAAGTAAGTTCTGGCTACCTCAAGTAAGTTCTGGCTACCTCAAGTAAGTTCTGGCTACCTCAAGTAAGTTCTGGCTACCTCAAGTAAGTTCTGGCTACCTCAAGTAAGTTCTGGCTACCTCAAGTAAGTTCTGGCTACCTCAAGTAAGTTCTGGCTACCTCAAGTAAGTTCTGGCTACCTCAAGTAAGTTCTGGCTACCTCAAGTAAGTTCTGGCTACCTCAAGTAAGTTCTGGCTACCTCAAGTAAGTTCTGGCTACCTCAAGTAAGTTCTGGCTACCTCAAGTAAGTTCTGGCTACCTCAAGTAAGTTCTGGCTACCTCAAGTAAGTTCTGGCTACCTCAAGTAAGTTCTGGCTACCTCAAGTAAGTTCTGGCTACCTCAAGTAAGTTCTGGCCACGATTGTTACTGGCTACTTTAGATCAGCAAAGTTGTCATGTTGTTGACCAAAGTTTGTATCATGCATCTCTCATGTCATCATTGAAACTGTCCCCACGACCCTACACATACGTCAGGTAGCCTACCTAGGGGACGCTACTTTGATAATTCTATGGTTGACATTTATTTCTTCACTTGTATATTTTTACATACTACTAACACGACCCCATCCAACGATTTAAATTTTGTCATTTTTTCCTAGGCAGTTGGTGACAAAAGACATAGTATATCTTCAACTGCTGGGGCCTTGCCTACCGTCTGAGGTTGCTATACAGAGGTAGGTTTTACTCCACGACATTTGCCGATACAGAGGTAGGTTTTACTCCACGACATTTGCCGATACAGAGGTAGGTTTTACTTCACGACTTTTGCCGATACAGAGGTAGGTTTTACTCCACGACATTTGCCGATACAGAGGTAGGTTTTACTCCACATTTGATGATACAGAGGTAGGTTTTACTTTACGACATTTGCTGAGTCAGAGGTAGGTTTTACTCCACGACATTTGCTGAGTCAGAGGTAGGTTTTACTCCACGACATTTGCTGAGTCAGAGGTAGGTTTTACTCCACGACATTTGCTGAGTAAGAGGTAGGTTTTACTCCACGACATTTGCTGAGTCAGAGGTAGGTTTTACTCCACGACATTTGCCGATACAGAGGTAGGTTTTACTCCACGACATTTGCCGATACAGAGGTAGGTTTTACTCCACGACATTTGCCGATACAGAGGTAGGTTTTACTCCACGACATTTGCCGAGTGGAAGACAAATTTGCATATATCAGGTTTAAAACAGGACTTGAAACCATGCCACTTGTTCACTATACACCTATAAAGCTGAGATACAAAACGCAGCTGCTTAGGCTAATGTTTACCCCCCCCCCTCCTCTCCTCCCGCAGGTTCCGGAACATACTAGACACAAAGACACCCTGGCAGGTGAGCGTGTTTTTCGCACCTGAGCGTATCAAGTCCTTATGTGAGCACAAACAGCGTTGTGTCAAGGAGGAATATTACCCCATCCAGCTCGACATGCCCTAGTTGTATTAGACATGACCTAGTTGTATTAGACATGACCTACTTTTACTACCCCGTCCAGCTCGACATGCCCTAGTTGTATTAGACATGACCTAGTTGTATTAGACATGACCTACTTTTACTACCCCGTCCAGCTCGACATGCCCTAGTTGTATTAGACATGACCTAGTTGTATTAGACATGACCTAGTTGTATTAGACATGACCTTGTTGTATTAGACATGACCTAGTTTTACTACCCCGTCCAGCTCGACATGCCCTAGTTGTATTAGACATGACCTACTTTTGCTACCCAGTCCTACTAGACATGCCCTAGATGTAGACATGACCTAGTTTTACTACCCCATCCGCTGAACATGCCCTAGTTGTATTATCCATGACCTAGTTGTATTAGACATGACCTAGTTGTACTATTGTACAGGACCTAATTTTAACTGACCATAAGCTACTCCTACATGAAATGCCCTATTTTCAGCATTTGAGCCGGACCTGAGTCCCCTTTGTACCCCCCCCCTCCCTCCCCTATGTAGCTGGAGACACGTGACTGCACTTGCCTTGACCCACATTTTTATATTGTTTATTATCATTTGTAAGACCGATGTCTACATTTTGTTTATAATATAATGTACTCTTCTCTTGATTGCCTTTATACAATGATTCTTGGTAACTTAATAAACAATGTATACTTGTAGTTTCCAGTTTTGCTCCGTCTTATTTGAACTTTTCTATTATTTTTGTGTGTGTGATGCGATGTGTGTATGTGTGTGATGCGATGTATGTGTGTGTGTGTGTGTGATGCCATGTGTGTATATGTGTGATGCGATGTATGTGATGTGTCCTTGTGATACCAAAGGTCAGTGTACTTTAAGGCCAAGGTCACTGTACTTTCTGTACAAGTGGGTGAAAACTGACCGCAAGTGACCACCGTTTTCTATTATAACCAATATAATTAACAAAAAAAAAAAAATCAACATCACCCCCCTCCCCCCTGAAAGATCGTGAGATGATAGACCAACTCAAAGAGGAATAGAAAAACAAAATATCTCGCCTTGTATAGGAAGAGAGTCAACATTTTACACTTGTTAAGTTTCAAACCTGACGGTTCATACGGTAGATGAAGTAGAGTTTATTTGTTTCGCTAGTGTTAGTGTTAGGTTTCGAGTGAGTTATTATGACTACAAGGTTTTGTAAAGGGTAAGATTTTCATTATAATTTTTGTCAAAACCTTCGCGAAGCTAGCCAGAATGTCACGTAGAAAGGTATAGCAACAAGAGAACAATCAGCCCCATCAAATGCACACCGGCCATGTAAAGGGAATTCCCGTTGTCTAAAGCACCGAGGCGCTAAATGCACACACACCCAACTCACAAGAGCGCACCATTGTAGCGCTAACGCTGACTTTACGACTGTACAGCTCTAAGCTCCAGACGTTTCCATTGGAACTCGGTACAAGCCGGAGCTTAACAGCTCTCAGAGGTCAGTTAGCTTGTATAGCTGTCACACTGGTGATGGGGTTGGGTTTTGTAAGGTCAGTGATGGGGTTTGGGGTTTTGTTAGGTCAGTGATGGGGTTTCGTGAGGTTAATGCTAGGGTTTTGTTGTTAGATTACAGCAAGGGTTTTGTCTGGCGTGTTACAGGTACGGGGTTGACGGCCATTGCTAGATACACGTAGAGAGAGAGGTGACACACAGGAGTATAGAGGTGACACACAGGAGTATAGAGGTGACACACAGGAGTATAGAGGTGACACACACCACAGGACGGAATGACCAGCTTCAAGAGAATCTTAGCGGCAACAAAGCGGCAGGTCAACAGACTCGTCGAATTCTCAGGTAAAGATAGCCCCCCCCCACACTTGAGTTCTCGGGTAAAGCTAGCCCCCCCCCCCCCCACACTTGGGTTCTCGGGTAAAGCTAGCCCCCCCCCCCCCCCCACACTTGGGTTCTCGGTCGGGTAAAGCTAGCCCCCCCCCCCACACACACACTTGGGTTCTCGGGTAAAGCTAGCCCCCCCCCACTTGAGTTCACGGGTAAAGCTAGCCCCCCCCCCCTAGACTTCTCGGTAAAGCTAGCCCCCCCCCCCCCCACACACACTTGGGTTCTCGGGTAAAGCTAGCCCCACACCCCCTAGACTTCTCGGTAAAGCTAGCCCCCCCCCCCGCCACACACACTTGGGTTCTCGGGTAAAGCTAGCCCCCCCTAGACTTCTCGGTAAAGCTAGCCCCCCCCCCCCCACACACTTAAGTTCTCGGGTAAAGCTAGCCCCCCTCCCCCACACTTGAACTCTCGGGTATGCCCCCCCCCCCTAGGGTTGGAGGTGTAACCTCTAACGGAATAGTTGTCTTCTCTAGGGTTGGACGTGGGTCTGGTGGAGAACATCCTACAGTACGCCGTTTGGTACCCTCTAACGGAATAGTTGTTTTCTCTAGGGTTGGACGTGGTTCTGGTGGAGAACATCCTACAGTACGCCGTTTGGTACCCTCTAACGGAATAGTTGTCTTCTCTAGGGTTGGACGTGGGTCTGGTGGAGAACATCCTACAGTACGCCGTTTGGTACCCTCTAACGGAATAGTTGTCTTCTCTAGGGTTGGACGTGGGTCTGGTGGAGAACATCCTACAGTACGCCGTTTGGTACCCTCTAACGGAATAGTTGTCTTCTCTAGGGTTGGACGTGGTTCTGGTGGAGAACATCCTACAGTACGCCGTTTGGTACCCTCTAACGGAATAGTTGTCTTCCCTAGGGTTGGACGTGGGTCTGGTGGAGAACATCCTACAGTACGCCGTTTGGTACCCTCTAACGGAATAGTTGTCTTCCCTAGGGTTGGACGTGGGTCTGGTGGAGAACATCCTACAGTACGCCGTTTGGTACCTTCTAACGGAATAGTTGTCTTCCCTAGGGTTGGACGTGGGTCTGGTGGAGAACATACTACAGTACGCCGTTTGGTACCCTCTAACGGAATAGTTGTCTTCCCTAGGGTTGGACGTGGGTCTGGTGGAGAACATCCTACAGTACGCCGTTTGGTACCCTCTAACGGAATAGTTGTCTTCCCTAGGGTTGGACGTGGGTCTGGTGGAGAACATACTACAGTACGCCGTTTGGTACCCTCTAACGGAATAGTTGTCTTCCCTAGGGTTGGACGTGGGTCTGGTGGAGAACATCCTACAGTACGCCGTTTGGTACCCTCTAACGGAATAGTTGTCTTCCCTAGGGTTGGACGTTGGTCTGGTGGAGAACATACTACAGTACGCCGTTTGGTACCCTCTAACGGAATAGTTGTCTTCCCTAGGGTTGGACGTGGGTCTGGTGGAGAACATACTACAGTACGCCCAGCAGCTGCCCAAGCAAAAAGGTGGAGACATTGACCTGCTCGTCTTCATGGCGCAGATGTCCAAACAGTTTGAACTCAATTCAACATTTCTCATCCAGTCCATGTTTGAATGTAGGTTTTACATCTCATCCTGTCCATGTTTGAATGTAGGTTTTACATCTCATCCTGTCCATGTTTAAATGTAGGTTTTACATCTCATCCAGTCCATGTTTAAATGTAGGTTTTACATCTCATTTAGTCCATGTTTAAATGTAGGTTTTGATCTCATCCAGTCCATGTATGAATAGGTTTCCCTACTCATCCAATCTATGTTTGAATGTAGGTTTTACATCTCATCCAATCCATGTTTGAATGTAGGTTTTACACCTCATCCAGTCCATGTTTGAATGTAGGTTTTGATCTCATCCAGTCCATGTATGAATAGGTTTCCCTACTCATCCAATCCATGTTTGAATGTAGGTTTTACATCTCATCCAATCCATGTTTGAGTGTAGGTTTTAATCTCATCCAGTCCATGTTTGAATGTAGGTTTCCCATCTCACCCAGTCCATGTTTGAATGTAGGTTTCCCATCTCACCCAGTCCATGTTTGAAAGCAAGTTTGAATATGTCCTTTATCCTATGATTTCTGTGTGACATAAGTCCAAAGACCCATGTAACCCATGTCCCACGACCCGTTTAACCCATGAGTGTGACCCTTAGACCCACGAGCTTGACCCCCTCCCAAGTGACCCTCAGTTTCACGAGTGTGACCCTTAGTCCCAAGTGACCCTAAGCCCCACGTGACCCTAAGTCCCACGTGACCCTAAGTCCCACGTGACCCTAAGTCCCACGTGACCCTAAGTCCCACGTGACCCTAAGTCCCACGAGACCCTAAGTCCCACGTGACCCTAAGTCCCACGTGACCTTAAGTCCCACGTGACCCTAAGCCCCACGAGACCCTAAATCCCACGAGACCCTAAGTCCCACGTGACCCTAAGCCCCACGAGACCCTAAGTCCCACGTGACCCTAAGTCCCACGTGACCCTAAGCCCCACGAGACCCTAAGTCCCACGTGACCCTAAGCCCCACGAGACCCTAAATCCCACGAGACCCTAAGTCCCACGTGACCCTTATGTGTCCAGCACTGAAAAAGCCCAAGGCCAGTATGATGACGGTGGAGGAGTACTGCCGGTGTGTCTGCCTGTTCCTCAGTGACAACCTCGAGATCAAGATGGACTACGTCTTTAACGTGTACGACATCAACCGTGACGGCTCGCTCGAGTGGACGGAGCTCTACACGCTGCTCAGGGTAGGGAACTCTACACTCAGGGTGGGGAACTCTACACTCAGGGTAGGGAACTCTACACTCTACTCAGGGTGGGGAACTCTACACTCAGGGTGGGGAACTCTACACTCAGGGTAGGGAACTCTACACTTTTCTCAGGGTAGGGAACTCTACACTCTACTCAGGGTGGGGAGCTCTACACTCAGGGTAGGGAACTCTAAACTCTACTCAGGGTAGGGAGCTCTACACTCAGGGTAGGGAACTCTACACTCTACTCAGGGTGGGGAACCCTACACTCAGGGTAGGGACCTCTACACTCAGGGTAGGGAACTCTACACTCTACTCAGGGTGGGGAACTCTACACTCAGGGTAGGGAGCTCTACACTCAGGGTGGGGAACTCTACACTCAGGGTGGGGACCTCTACACTCAGGGTGGGGAACTCTACACTCAGGATGGGGACCTCTACACTCAGGATGGGGACCTCTACACTCAGGGTAGGGAACTCTACACTCAGGGTAGGGAACTCTACACTCAGGGTAGGGAACTCTACACTCAGGGTGGGGAACTCTACACTCTACTCAGGGTAGGGACTTCTACACTCAGGGTAGGGAACTCTACACTCAGGGTGGGGAACTCTACACTCAGGATAGGGAACTCTACACTCAGGGTAGGGAACTCAACACTAAGGGTAGGGACCTCTACACTCTACTCAGGGTAGGGAACTCTACACTCTACTCAGGGTAGGGAACTCTACACTCAGGGTGGGGAACTCTACACTCAGGGTAGGGACCTCTACACTCAGGGTGGGGAACTCTACACTCAGTGTAGGGTCCTCTACACTCAGGGTGGGGACCTTTACACTCTACTCAGGGTAGGGAACTCTACACTCAGGGTAGGGACCTCTACACTCTACCCAGGGTAGGGAACTCTACACTCAGGGTAGGGACCTCTACACTCAGGGTAGGGACTTCTACACTCTACTCAGGGTAGGAAACTCTACACTCTACTCAGGGTAGGGAACTCTACACTCAGTGTAGGGTCCTCTACACTCAGGGTGGGGAACTCTACACTCAGGGTGGGGAACTCTACACTCAGGGTAGGGACCTCTACACTCAGTGTAGGGACCTCTACACTCTACTCAGGGTAGGGAACTCTACACACAGGGTAGGGACCTCTACACTCTACTCAGGGTAGGGACCTCTACACTCTACTCAGGGTAGGGACCTCTACACTCTACTCAGGGTAGGGAACTCTACACGCTACTCAGGGAGGGGAACTCTACACGCTACTCAGGGAGGGGAACTCTACATTCAGGGTGGGGAACTCTACACTCTACTCAGGGTAGGGACTTCTACACTCAGGGTAGGGACCTCTACACTCAGGGTAGGGAACTCTACACTCTACTCAGGGTAGGGAACTCTACACTCTACTCAGGGTAGGGAACTACACTCAGGGTAGGGACCTCTACACTCTACTCAGGGTAGGGAACTACACTCAGGGTAGGGAACTCTACACTCTACTCAGGGTAGGGACCTCTTCACTCAGGGTAGGGAACTCTACACGCTGCTTAGGGTAGGGACCTCTACACTCAGGGTAGGGAACTCTACACTCTACTCAGGGTAGGGACCTGTACATTCTACTCAGGGTAGGGACCTCTACAGTCAGGGTAGGGACTTCTACACTCAGGGTAGGGACTTCTACACTCAGGGTAGGGACTTCTACACTCAGGGTAGGGACTTCTACACTCTACTCAGGGTAGGGACTTCTACACTCAGGGTAGGGACTTCTACACTCAGGGTAGGGACTTCTACACTCAGGGTAGGGACTTCTACACTCAGGGTAGGGACTTCTACACTCAGGGTAGGGACTTCTACACTCAGGGTAGGGACTTCTACACTCAGGGTAGGGACTTCTACACTCAGGGTAGGGACTTCTACACTCTACTCAGGGTAGGGACTTCTACACTCTACTCAGGGTGGGGAACTCTACACTCAGGGTAGGGACTTCTACACTCAGGGTAGGGACTTCTACACGCTACTCAGAGTAGGGACCTCTACACTCAGGGTAGGGACGTCTACACTCTACTCAGGGTAGGGACTTCTACACTCTACTCAGGGTAGGGACCTCTACACTCAGGGTAGGGAACTCTACACTCTACTCAGGGTAGGGACCTCTTCACTCAGGGTAGGGAACTCTACACGCTGCTTAGGGTAGGGACCTCTACACTCAGGGTAGGGAACTCTACACTCTACTCAGGGTAGGGAACTCTACACTCTACTCAGGGTAGGGACTTCTACAGTCAGGGTAGGGACTTCTACACTCAGGGTAGGGACTTCTACACTCTACTCAGGGTAGGGAACTCTACACTCAGGGTAGGGACCTCTACACTCAGGGTAGGGACTTCTACACTCTACTCAGGGTAGGGACCTCTACACTCAGGGTAGGGACCTCTACACTGTACTCAGGGTAGGGACCTCTACACTCCACTCAGGGTAGGGACCTCTACACTCTACTCAGGGTAGGGAACTCTACACTCTACTCAGGGTAGGGACCTCTACACTCAGGGTAGGGACCTCTACACTCTACTCAGGGTAGGGACTTCTACACTCAGGGTAGGGAACTCAACACTCAGGGTAGGGACTTCTACACTCAGGGTAGGGACTTCTACACTGTACTCAGGGTAGGAAACTTCTACACTCTACGCAGGGTAGGGACTTCTACACTCAGGGTAGGGAACTCTACACTCAGGGTAGGGACTTCTACACTCAGGGTAGGGACTTCTACACTCTACTCAGGGTAGGGACTTCTACACTCAGGGTAGGGAACTCTACACTCAGGGTAGGGACTTCTACACTCAGGGTAGGGACTTCTACACGCTACGCAGGGTAGGGACCTCTACACTCAGGGTAGGGACGTCTACACTCTACTCAGGGTAGGGACTTCTACACTCTACTCAGGGTAGGGACCTCTACTCTCTACGCAGGGTAGGGAACTCTACACTCTACTCAGGGTAGGGAACTACACTCTACTCAGGGTAGGGACTTCTACACTCAGGGTAGGGAACTCTACACTCAGGGTAGGGAACTCTACACTCAGGGTAGGGAACTCAACACTCTACTCAGGGTAGGGACCTCTTCACTCAGGGTAGGGAGCTCTACACTCAGGGTAGGGAACTCTACACTCTACTCAGGGTAGGGACCTGTACATTCTACTCAGGGTAGGGACCTCTACAGTCAGGGTAGGGACTTCTACACTCAGGGTAGGGACTTCTACACTCAGGGTAGGGACTTCTACACTCAGGGTAGGGACTTCTACACTCTACTCAGGGTAGGGACTTCTACACTCAGGGTAGGGACTTCTACACTCAGGGTAGGGACTTCTACACTCAGGGTAGGGACTTCTACACTCAGGGTAGGGACTTCTACACTCAGGGTAGGGACTTCTACACTCAGGGTAGGGACTTCTACACTCAGGGTAGGGACTTCTACACTCAGGGTAGGGACTTCTACACTCAGGGTAGGGACTTCTACACTCTACTCAGGGTAGGGACTTCTACACTCTACTCAGGGTGGGGAACCCTACACTCAGGGTAGGGACTTCTACACTCAGGGTAGGGACTTCTACACGCTACTCAGGGTAGGGACCTCTACACTCAGGGTAGGGACGTCTACACTCTACTCAGGGTAGGGACTTCTACACTCTACTCAGGGTAGGGACCTCTACACTCTACGCAGGGTAGGGAACTCTACACTCTACTCAGGGAACTCTACACTCAGGGTAGGGAACTCTACACTCTACTCAGGGTAGGGACCTCTTCACTCAGGGTAGGGAACTCTACACGCTGCTTAGGGTAGGGACCTCTACACTCAGGGTAGGGAACTCTACACTCTACTCAGGGTAGGGAACTCTACACTCTACTCAGGGTAGGGACTTCTACAGTCAGGGTAGGGACTTCTACACTCAGGGTAGGGACTTCTACACGCTACGCAGGGTAGGGACCTCTACACTCAGGGTAGGGACGTCTACACTCTACTCAGGGTAGGGACTTCTACACTCTACTCAGGGTAGGGACCTCTACACTCTACGCAGGGTAGGGAACTCTACACTCTACTCAGGGTAGGGAACTACACTCTACTCAGGGTAGGGACTTCTACAGTCAGGGTAGGGAACTCTACACTCAGGGTAGGGAACTCTACACTCTACTCAGGGTAGGGACCTCTACACTCAGGGTAGGGACCTCTACACTCTACTCAGGGTAGGGACATCTACACTCTACTCAGGGTAGGGAACTCTACACTCTACTCAGGGTAGGGAACTACACTCTACTCAGGGTAGGGACTTCTACACTCAGGGTAGGGACCTCTACACTCAGGGTAGGGACTTCTACACTCAGGGTAGGGAACTCTACACGCTGCTCAGGGTAGGGACCTCTACACTCTACTCAGGGTAGGGACCTCTACACTCTACTCAGGGTAGGGACCTCTACACTCTACTCAGTACTCAGGGTAGGGACCTCTACACTCTACTCAGGGTAGGGACATCTACACTCAACTCAGGGTAGGGAACTCAACACTCAACTCAGGGTAGGGAACTCAACACTCAACTCAGGGTAGGGACTTCTACACTCAGGGTAGGGAACTCAACACTCAACTCATGGTAGGGACCTCTACACTCTACTCAGGGTAGGGACCTCTACACTCTACTCAGGGTAGGGACCTCTACACTCTACTCAGGGTAGGGAACTCAACACTCAGGGTAGGGACGTCTACCCTCTACTCAGGGTAGGGACCTCTACACTCTACTCAGGGTAGGGACCTCTACACTCTACTCAGGGTAGGGACCTCTACACTCTACTCAGGGTAGGGAACTCAACACTCAACTCAGGGTAGGGACCTCTACACTCTACTCAGGGTAGGGACCTCTACACTCAGGGTAGGGAACTCTACACTCAGGGTAGGGACCTCTACACTCTATTCAGGGTAGGGACCTCTACACTCTACTCAGAGTAGGGAACTCTACATAAAGGTCAGGGAAAGTCTGCTTACATGTCAATTTGTGGGGTGCCCTCTAACGGAAATGAACTTTCCCCAGCCTTGCATTCTGTCAACGGAGTCTGAAGATTCGGAGACTGACGTGGAGGACTCGCTGCGTGATTTGATTGACATTGTCATTAAAATAACCGACCTGGACAACAACGGACAGATCGACTGCACGGAGTTCAAGTAGGTAGACATAGCTCATTGTGTGCCGGGTCAAAGTTCAAGTAAGTAGACCTAGCTCATTGTGTGCCGGGTCAAAGTTCAAGTAAGTAGACCTAGCTCATTGTGTGCCGTGTCAAAGTTCAAGTAAGTAGACCTAGCTCATTGTCGTGTCAAAGTTCAAGTAAGTAGACCTAGCTCATTGTGTGCCGTGTCAAAGTTCAAGTAAGTAGACCTAGCTCATTGTCGTGTCAAAGTTCAAGTAGGTAGACCTAGCTCATGGTGTGCCGTGTCAAAGTTCAAGTAAGTAGACCTAGCTCATTGTGTGCCGGGTCAAAGTTCAAGTAAATATATCATGCTTATTGTATGCGCAAGTCAAAGTTCATGTTCATAGCCAGGGATTCATGTTCATATTAAAAGAACCTTGCCTGATTCATGTTTAAACCTCACTCCCCAGGAATCTTGTCATACCCAACTAAAACTTGTCACATTCCTCCACAGGAAACTTGTCAAATCAAACATCCTTTACTTGCAGTTTTTAGGACCGTGTCTGCCCTTGGAACAAGTCGCTGACAAGTAAGTCTTAGTTGTTTAGTTGTTAGTTTAGTTATAAGTCTTAGTTGTTTAGTTGTTAGTTTAATTGTGAGTCTTAGTTGTTTAGTTGTTAGTTTAGTTGAAAGTCTTAGTTGTTTAGTTGTTAGTTTAGTTGTAAGTCTTAGTTGTTTAGTTGTTAGTTTAGTTGTAAGTCTTAGTTGTTTAGTTGTTAGTTTAGTTGTAAGTCTTAGTTGTTTAGTTGTTAGTTTAGTTGTAAGTCTTAGTGATTTTTTCTAGAAAATTCTGTAACAGCGTCACGTACTAGATCTTTGACCTATAAACGAATACAATCTCTATACGTTGGAAACTAGTGATTGTTGGACTGATTAAATGGTAGTGTTGGTATCATGCCTCTCATTTACATATTATTAGGTTCAAACTGTTGTAATAATTGCACTTGAAATGTGCGACAGTTGAGACACAATGTCTGAGAATGTGCGAGAGTTGAGACACAATGCCTAAGAATGTGCGACAGTTGAGACACAATGTCTGAGAATGTGCGACAGTTGACCCAAGACACAATGTCTGAGAATGTGCGACAGTTGAGACACAATGTCTGAGAATGTGCGAGAGTTGAGACACAATGTCTGAGAATGTGCGAGAGTTGAGACACAATGTCTGAGAATGTGCGAGAGTTGAGACACAATGTCTGAGAATGTGCGAGAGTTGAGACACAATGTCTGAGAATGTGCGAGAGTTGAGACACAATGTCTGAGAATGTGCGAGAGTTGAGACACAATGTCTGAGAATGTGCGAGAGTTGAGACACAATGTCTGAGAATGTGCGAGAGTTAAGACACAATGCCTAAGAATGTGCGACAGTTGAGACACAATGTCTGAGGATGTGCGACAGTTGAGACACAATGTCTGAGAATGTGCGACAGTTGACCCAAGACAAAATGTTGAGGATGTTTCCTCTTGTCCCTAGCTTTAAAGCCAAGATGATCGGGAAGACGCCATACCAGATCAAGCTGGAGTTCGCCGACGAACGGCACATCTCACTGTGCGAGATTAAAATCGCGCCAGAGGAAAGCCAGCAATTGTACCCCGTCCCCCTCGACCTGCCTTGACCTACATAAAACGTACCCCGTCCCCCTCGACCTGCCTTGACCTACATAAAACGTACCTCGTCCCCCTCGACCTGCCTTGACCTACATAAAACGTACCCCTTCCCCACTCGACCTGCCTTGACCTACATAAAAAGTAAGCCTTCCCCCGCGACCTGCCTTGACCTACATAAAACGTACCCCTTCCCCCGCGACCTGCCTTGACCTACATAAAAAGTAACCCTTCCCCCCTCGACCTGCCTTGACCTACATAAAACGTACCCCTTCCCCCCTCGACCTGCCTTGACCTACATAAAACGTACCCCTTCCCCCCTCGACCTACCTAAACTGTACCCCGCCCCCTCGACCTACCTTGAACTACAAAATCTGTACCCCGCCCCCTCGACCTACCTTGACATACAGCCACGTATTGACCTTCACCCTTATAAGGTCTTAGAGTTTTTATCATTTTACAAATAAAAGTGATGGTTTGATTTTATATTGGTGTGTCCTGATGATTTTATCTTTGGTCTGTGATGTTGGTGTGTCCTGATGATTTTATCTTTGGTCTGTGATGTTGGTGTGTCCTGATGATTTTATCTTTGGTATGTGATGTTGGTGTGTCCTGATGATTTTATATGGTCTGTGATGTTGTGTCCTGATGATTTTATCTTTGGTCTGTGATGTTGGTGTGTCCTGATGATTTTATCTTTGGTCTGTGATGTTGTGTCCTGATGATTTTATCTTTGGTCTGTGATGTTGGTGTGTCCTGATGATTTTATCTTTGGTCTGTGATGTTGGTGTGTCCTGATGATTTTATCTTTGGTCTGTGATGTTGGTGTGTCCTGATGATTTTATCTTTGGTCTGTGATGTTGGTGTGTCCTGATGATTTTATCTATGGTCTGTGATGTTGGTGTGTCCTGATGATTTTATCTTTGGTATGTGATGTTGATGTGTCCTGATGATTTTATCTTTGGTATGTGATGTTGGTGTGTCCTGATGATTTTATATTTGGTCTGTGATGTTGGTGTGTCCTGATGATTTTATCTATGGTCTGTGATGTTGATGTGTCCTGATGATTTTACCTTTGGTCTGTGATGTTAGTGTGTCCTGATGATTTTATCTATGGTCTGTGATGTTGATGTGTCCTGATGATTTTATCTTTGGTATGTGATGTTGGTGTGTCCTGATGATTTTATCTATGGTCTGTGATGTTGGTGTGTCCTGATGATTTTATCTTTGGTATGTGATGTTGATGTGTCCTGATGATTTTATCTTTGGTATGTGATGTTGGTGTGTCCTGATGATTTTATCTATGGTCTGTGATGTTGGTGTGTCCTGATGATTTTATCTTTGGTATGTGATGTTGTGTCCTGATGATTTTATCTTTGGTATGTGATGTTGGTGTGTCCTGATGATTTTATCTATGGTCTGTGATGTTGGTGTGTCCTGATGATTTTATCTTTGGTATGTGATGTTGATGTGTCCTGATGATTTTATCTTTGTTATGTGATGTTGGTGTGTCCTGATGATTTTATCTATGGTCTGTGATGTTGGTGTGTCCTGATGATTTTATCTTTGGTATGTGATGTTGGTGTGTCCTGATGATTTTATCTTTGGTATGTGATGTTGGTGTGTCCTGATGATTTTATCTATGGTCTGTGATGTTGGTGTGTCCTGATGATTTTATCTTTGGTATGTGATGTTGGTGTGTCCTGATGATTTTATCTTTGGTATGTGATGTTGGTGTGTCCTGATGATTTTATCTATGGTCTGTGATGTTGGTGTGTCCTGATGATTTTATCTTTGGTCTGTGATGTTGATGTGTCCTGATGATTTGATCTTTGGTATGTGATGTTGGTGTGTCCTGATGATTTTATCTTTGGTATGTGATGTTGTGTCCTGATGATTTTATCTTTGGTCTGTGATGTTGTGTCCTGATGATTTTATCTATGGTCTGTGATGTTGGTGTGTCCTGATGATTTGATCTTTGGTATGTGATGTTGGTGTGTCCTGATGATTTTATCTTTGGTATGTGATGTTGATGTGTCCTGATGATTTTATCTTTGGTATGTGATGTTGATGTGTCCTGATGATTTTATCTTTGGTATGTGATGTTGATGTGTCCTGATGATTTTATCTTTGGTATGTGATGTTGGTGTGTCCTGATGATTTTATCTATGGTCTGTGATGTTGGTGTGTCCTGATGATTTTATCTTTGGTATGTGATGTTGTGTCCTGATGATTTTATCTTTGGTATGTGATGTTGGTGTGTCCTGATGATTTTATCTATGGTCTGTGATGTTGGTGTGTCCTGATGATTTTATCTTTGGTATGTGATGTTGATGTGTCCTGATGATTTTATCTTTGTTATGTGATGTTGGTGTGTCCTGATGATTTTATCTATGGTCTGTGATGTTGGTGTGTCCTGATGATTTTATCTTTGGTATGTGATGTTGGTGTGTCCTGATGATTTTATCTTTGGTATGTGATGTTGGTGTGTCCTGATGATTTTATCTATGGTCTGTGATGTTGGTGTGTCCTGATGATTTTATCTTTGGTATGTGATGTTGGTGTGTCCTGATGATTTTATCTTTGGTATGTGATGTTGGTGTGTCCTGATGATTTTATCTATGGTCTGTGATGTTGGTGTGTCCTGATGATTTTATCTTTGGTCTGTGATGTTGATGTGTCCTGATGATTTGATCTTTGGTATGTGATGTTGGTGTGTCCTGATGATTTTATCTTTGGTATGTGATGTTGTGTCCTGATGATTTTATCTTTGGTATGTGATGTTGGTGTGTCCTGATGATTTTATCCTGGCGCATGTGGCTAACAATATAACAGAAAAAGAGAGGTGGGACGGCAGCTATCAGAGGAGGGGGTGGGACGGCAGCTCTAAGAGGGGGGGGGGGGGGGGTGGGGGGTGGGACGGAAGGAGGGTGTGGGACGGCAGCTCTCAGAGATTGGATATCTAGCAACTTATGGATGTACACATGTATGTAGTAAAGAACGATAAAACAGAATGATGTCAACACACAGACCTAACTCAATGATACACACAGACCTTACTCAATGATACACACAGACCTTACTCAATGATACAGACCTTACTCAATGATACACACAGACCTTACTCAATGATACACACAGACCTTACTCAATGATACACACAGACCTTACTCAATGATACAGACCTAACTCAATGATACACACAGACCTTACTCAATGATACACACAGACCTTACTCAATGATACACACAGACCTTACTCAATGATACAGACCTAACTCAATGATACACACAGACTAGACTTGGGCACACTCAAGGGATCATAATGTCACACATTCGAATATAACTCACTACAATCGCTAGTTAAAATATATCGACACAATCGCTAGCTAAAACAGCGACACAACCGCTAGTTAAACATAAAACAAGACAACACAATCGCTAGTTAAAATTCCTCTCGACTAAAGAAATAAACAACAGCATTTGAAATCAAACACCCACTGTCTTATTCCCCTTTCTACCCATCTATTGAGGGGAAAATTCGCGCCGCGCCCAGCACATAGAATCGGGTTTTCCCTAAAATCAGCAGAGCGCACGTATAGATACGGTGTGCGCGGTAACGGCGCCGGCATTTACTGTATTGGTTTGGCGGTCTCCCGGGAAAGTTGGCTAACTTCTGCTGTAAGTTTTTTAAAGTCATGTCCACTGGTAACAGTCATGTCAATTTGTTAGTTGGTTAATCTAGAATTCTAGATCTATATTATGTTAAAACCATTGCCGTGTCAAAATGTTTATTACCGATCTAGACAAACAAATTAAATAATAATGTCATGAAGACGTATTAACACATTCTTGTTTCTCGGTACCGTAGAAAGGTCTGGATCTAGTTCTACGGCTAATCCCTGTCCCTAATACCCCTGTCCCTAATACCACAGATAGTAGATAGCATCCCTGCGGCTAACCCTACTAGTATCGCAAGAATCTAATCCTGATAGATTCTAGCATCACTACAGTCTAATCCCTACAGCTAATCCTGCATCAAATCCTACAGCGAATCCTGCAGCATCCCTACAGCTAATCCTACATCAAATCCTACAGCTAATCCTACAAGCAACTTTACAGCTAATCCTGCACCAAATCCTACAGCTAATCCTGCATCAAATCCTACAGCTAATCCTGCACCAAATCCTACAGCTAATCCTGCATTAAATCCTACAGCTAAACCTGCATCAAATCCTACAGCTAATCCTGCATAAAATCCTACAGCTAATCCTACAGCATCCCTACAGCTAGTCCTGCATTAAATCCTACAGCTAATCCTGCATAAAATCATACAGCTAATCCTGCATCAAATCCTACAGCTAGTCCTGCATTAAATCCTACAGCTAATCCTGCATCAAATCCTACAGCTAATCCTGCATCAAATCCTACAGCTAATCCTGCATCAAATCCTACAGCTAATCCTGCATCAAATCCTGCAGCTAATCCTACAGCATCCCTACAGCTAACCCTACTAGCATCTTTACAGCTAATCCTACAGCTAATCGTGCCCATGACATGGCGAACAGGTTATCGTCCATTTGAATTCCCCATGTGTAAGCAACCGTCCATTCATATTCCCCAGGTGTAAACAACCGTCCATTCATATTCCCCAGGTGTAAGCATATTTGTCTTCCCCAGGAGTAAGCACATTTGTATTCCCCAGGTATAAACACATTTGTATTCCCCAGGTGTAAGCATATTTGTCTTCCCCAGGAGTAAGCACATTTGTATTCCCCAGGTGTAAGCACATTTGTATTCCCCAGGTGTAAGCAGCACATTTGTATTCCCCAGGTGTAAGCACATTTGTATTCCCCAGGTGTAAGCACATTTGTCTTCCCCGTATGTAAGCACTTTTGTATTCCCCGGGTGTAAGCAATCGTCCATTTGTATTCCCCAGGTGTAAGCAGCACATTTGTATTCCCCAGGTGTAAGCACATTTGTATTCCCCAGGTGTAAGCACATTTGTATTTCCCAGGTGTAAACACATTTGTCTTCCCCAGGTGTAAGCACATTTGTATTCCCCAGGAGTAAGCACATTTGTATTCTCCAGGTATAAACACATTTGTATTCCCCAGGTGTAAGCACATTTGTATTCCCCAGGTGTAAGCACATTTGTATTCCCCAGGTGTAAGCACATTTGTATTCCCCAGGTGTAAGCACATTTGTATTCCCCAGGTGTAAACACATTTGTCTTCCCCAGGTGTAAGCACATTTGTATTCCCCAGGAGTAAGCACATTTGTATTCCCCAGATGTAAGCACATTTGTATTCCCCAGGTGTAAGCACATTTGTCTTCTCCAGGTGTAAGCACATTTGTATTCCCCAGGTGTAAGCACATTTGTATTCCCCAGGTGTAAGCACATTTGTATTGCCCAGGTGTTAGCACATTTGTATTCCCCAGGTGTAAGCACATTTGTATTCCCCAGGTGTAAGCACATTTGTATTGCCCAGGTGTTAGCACATTTGTATTCCCCAGGTGTAAGCACATTTGTATTCCCCAGGTGTAAGCAAGCGTTATGTCCAGTTTCAAAAGACTTGTCGAACAGGCCGAGAAGTTAACTGCCAAGCTGCAGGAGTATTCCGGTACTGTGGGTCATGTATGTGTGTGTGTGGATGTGTGTGTATGGGGCAGAGTATTCCGGTACTGTGTGTCATGTATGTGTGTGTGTGGATGTGTGTGAGTGTGTGTGTATGGGGCAGAGTATTCCGGTACTGTGTGTCATGTATGTGTGTGTGTGGATGTGTGTGAGTGTGTGTGTATGAGGCAGAGTATTCCGGTACTGTGGGTCATGTATGTGTGTGTTAGTGTGTGTGGATGTGTGTGAGCGTGTGGGGCAGAGTATTCTGGTACTGTGGGTCCTGCATGTGTGTTTGTGTGTATGGATGTGTGTGTGTGTGTGTGTGAGGAGAGGGGGGGGTGAGGGGGGAGTGTTAGATGAATACACGCCTTATTTTAAAACCTGTCCTGTCAAGCCTGAATGGTTGTAGCCTGGATGTCACCAGAAAAAATTGTTTAATGTCAGGCCTCGAGAAGCACTTGGTGGAGAATGTCATACACTACGCTAAACAGCTGCCAGGAGACGGAAGGGGAGAAATTGACCAGCTGATCTTCATTGCACAGATGGCGCATCAGTTCGAGATTTATTCCCCGAATTTACTGCAGTCTATGTTTGAGAGTAAGTTCCCTTTCTTTACTGCAGTCTATGTTTGCGAGTAAGTTCCTTTTCTTTACGGCAGCCATAACTCTATAACCGTAACTATAACCATAACCCTAAACCGAATCTTAACCCAAAACTTAACTATAACCATAAACCTAAACGTAACCCCAAACCGAACCTTAATCCTAAACCGAACCCTAACCTTACCGATGACACCAAATTAAAACGTGATTTGGTGCCTTGGCAGCATTACGACTTTGATCGACATTCTATGCCAGTACTCGACAATATTCCATCTTTTGGCATCGTGTCGTATCTCTGATAACACAAACACACACGGACACACTCACATAAACACACACACGGGCACACTCACATAAACACACACACGGACACACTCACATCAACACACAGACACTAACATCTAGCTAACGATTATACACGGACTCTATCAGGTTCCATTCTATTAGCTCCACTGTCTGTTAAGTCAGTTGGATCGTTAGGATCAAGAATAGAAAGTATCATCATCCGTTCCCAGAATAATACAAATTGTCAAATTTTGTGAAACGTGTTTTCATGGTACAACGTAGGCCTACATGTGGTCATTCTTTGGTACTGTCTATATATGCTCGATTTAAGAAAACAAAAATATTTCGTGCGCAGTTTTCCACTGCGCATCTTTCCTGTCAACATATCTATCAATCAATCAATGCACATATGCTGTATGTTGTATGTACAGGTTGGAAGCGACCGCGGGCCACGACCATGACGATAGAGGAGTACAGTAAACTGATCTGCATGTTCCTGAGCACGAAGCCCGGCATTAAGACAGACTTTGTCTTCAATGTCTACGACGTCGACAGAGACGGGTGCATCAACAGGACAGAGCTTTTCTCATTGTTACGGGTGAGTGGCGTCGGTGGGACAGGTGTGTGAGTGGCGTCAGTAGGACAGGTGTGTGAGTGGCGTCAGTTGGACAGGTGTGTGAGTGGCGTCAGTAGGACAGGTGTGTGAGTGGCGTCTGTAGGACTGGTGTGTGAGTGGCGTCAGTAGGACTGGTGTTTGAGTGGCGTCAGTAGGACAGGTGTGTGAGTGGCGTCAGTAAGACTGGTGTGTGAGTGGCGTCAGTAGGACTGGTGTGTGAGTGGCGTCAGTAGGACTGGTGTGTGAGTGTGTGTTTGGCGTCAGTAGGACAAAGGTGTGAGTGGCGTCAATGCCAGAACATATTCCAGAAACCCCCGAATATGTCTGCACGGTTCTAATATACTGCAGAGACATACGGTGGAACAACATTTCTAGTCAGACCATCAACATAATCAACTGACATGACATACGGTGGAACAACATTTCTAGTCAGACCATCAACATAATCAACTGACATGACATACGGTGGAACAACATTTCTAGTCAGACCATCAACATAATCAACTGACATGACATACGGTGGAACAACATTTCTAGTCAGACCATCAACATGATCAACTGACATGACATACGGTGGAACAACATTACTAGTCAGACCATCAACATAATCAACTGACATGACATACGGTGGAACAACATTTCTAGTCAGACCATCAACATAATCAACTGACATGACATACGGTGGAACAACATTACTAGTCAGACCATCAACATAATCAACTGACATGACATACGGTGGAACAACATTACTAGTTAGACCATCAACATAATCAACTGTGACATGACATACGGTGGAAACCATACTAGTCAGACCATCAACATAATCAACTGACATGACATACGGTGGAACAACATTACTAGTTAGACCATCAACATATTCAACTGACATGACATACGGTGGAACAACATTACTAGTCAGACCATCAACATAATCAACTGACATGACATACGGTGGAACAACATCACTAGTCAGACCATCAACATAATCAACTTTGACCATATGTCAGAAAGCATTGACATTGACCTAACCTGACCCTAACCCTGCACCAACCTGAGCAAGACTTGACCCACCTTAGTGCTAGCGATACATGCGGTTGTCACCTGCGGTTGTCACCATTTCAGAGCACTATGGTTATCACGGAGACAGAGTTTACAGAAGCGGACACAAACGAATGTATCAAAGAATTGATTGACCTGACCTTGAAGATGATGGACCATGACTTGAGTGGCGATATTAACAGAAGCGAGTTTAAGTGAGTACTCAACGTCTCAGGGGGCGGGTTAGTGAGCCAAGACGGCCTTTAGTTAGTGTTGACTGTAGGGGGGGGGGGCATGGAATGGTAGAGGGGCGGGTTCCACACGGTTCAGGTTACAAAGTAAAACACACACCTTGGCAATCGAATACCCAATATTTGAACGCTAGACAAGAGAATGTTTTTGAAAATATCGGCCAATTGTTGATTCGTCAAAGCAAATCCGTCTTATATCACTTCAGCTCTTAAGAAAGGGTGACACGTAAGATTTTTAACTTCATTATTGTTCAAGATGACTTAAACAATTAAAAACCACATTTATTTACCTTCAATTTGATACCAATTTTATCAAATTTAATCGGTAGTCTAAAAAATCGGTGTTCAAATATACGGCGTGCAAAATGGGCGGGCTTAGTTAGCTATTGTCTCGATCAAGTAATTTATTTTAGGTTTTGTGTTTACCCTGCATGATTTTTAAAACATTAATGACATTAGTTTAGTAGAAAGCAAGTTTTAATTTTATACAGTTTAGAATATATTTTCAGTATGTTTAGAACACTATTAAGTGAAGCAATTCACGTTTTGCTTACTTTTATTATGTTGTGCTCGATATTCTCAGCGACAACTTTGCATCTAACACTAATCATTCATTGTTAAAACTAGACCGGTATCGTTGAATAATACACAAAAATAAGGATTTAAAGTATATATTTCTGAAATTACCATAAAACATTGTTAAAAAAAAACCGAACCATGACGACGGTAAAAAAGTAGGGCAACAAGCGACAAGCTATTTTAAGATAAAATAATACACAACTAAACCAAACTAGTTCAGCTTATAATTTCTTGACAACTAAACCTAACTAGTTCAGCTTATAGTTTCTTATCTTTTTTAGCGCAATTTCCATTCTGGAGAATTGCGTTTATTAACTCGTCATTTCTGGGAATGGATGGATGAATGTATGGATGTGTGTCCGGGCTTTAAGTCGTATCTCCTCCTCAACGAAGCAATATCGATGACTAGTTACAAAAGCAATTATGTTAAGCAAGTTACGAGGATGAGCATAGGCCATAAAAATTCCGGGTTTCTTTCATGTATTTCCCGGAAAAGCCAAAAAAACTCGAAAAAATGCAGTTTTTGGCCCATATCTCGGCAACCAGACCACTTAGCGACTTGAAACATGTACCAATCGATTCCTGCCATAATTTAGAACAATATTGCCGAAGAAAGTTTTCAAAAATATCCTCTCGTTCGGTCACAAATTTTAAAATTACATAAACACCTACAAACCGATCGTTCTTCTAGCTTGAACGCAACCCAGCATTATACGTCAGAGCAATTTTTAGATAACATAAGGAAATTGCGCATAAATGTCACTAGACTTTTTTAATTAACTTGTTTTTTTATTGGCAGAGAAAGCGCGAATAAAGATTCAGTTTATCTTCAAATTTTTGGACAGTGTTTACCATCAGACCAGACATTAGACAGGTGAGTTGTTGGACCATCAGACGTTAGACAGGTGAGTTGTTGGACCATCAGACGTTAGACAGGTGAGTTGTTGGACCATCAGACCAGACGTTAGACAGGTGAGTTGTTGGACCATCAGACATTAGACAGGTGAGTTGTTGGACCATCAGACATTAGACAGGTGAGTTGTTGGACCATCAGACATTAGACAGGTGAGTTGTTGGACCATCAGATGTTAGACAGGTGAGTTGTTGGACCATCAGATGTTAGACAGGTGAGTTGTTGGACCATCAGATGTTAGACAGGTGAGTTGTTGGACCATCGGACCAGACATTAGACAGGTGAGTTGTTGGACCATCAGACATTAGACAGGTGAGTTGTTGGACCATCAGACGTTAGACAGGTGAGTTGTTGGACCATCAGACGTTAGACAGGTGAGTTGTTGGACCATCAGACCAGACATTAGACAGGTGAGTTGTTGGACCATCAGACCAGACATTAGACAGGTGAGTTGTTGGACCATCAGACCAGACATTAGACAGGTGAGTTGTTGGACCATCAGACCAGACATTAGACAGGTGAGTTGTTGGACCATCAGACCAGACGTTAGACAGGTGAGTTGTTGGACCATCAGACGTTAGACAGGTGAGTTGTTGGACCATCAGACGACGTTAGACAGGTGAGTTGTTGGACCATCAGACGTTAGACAGGTGAGTTGTTGGACCATCAGACGTAAGACAGGTGAGTTGTTGGGTCATCAGACGTTAGACAGGTGAGTTGTTGGACCATCAGACGTTAGACAGGTGAGTTGTTGGACCATCAGACGTTAGACAGGTGAGTTGTTGGACCATCAGACGTTAGACAGGTGAGTTGTTGGACCATCAGACGTTAGACAGGTGAGTTGTTGGACCATCAGACCAGACGTTAGACAGGTGAGTTGTTGGACCATCAGACATTAGACAGGTGAGTTGTTGGACCATCAGACATTAGACAGGTGAGTTGTTGGACCATCAGACATTAGACAGGTGAGTTGTTGGACCATCAGATGTTAGACAGGTGAGTTGTTGGACCATCAGATGTTAGACAGGTGAGTTGTTGGACCATCAGATGTTAGACAGGTGAGTTGTTGGACCATCAGACCAGACATTAGACAGGTGAGTTGTTGGACCATCAGATGTTAGACAGGTGAGTTGTTGGACCATCAGACCAGACATTAGACAGGTGAGTTGTTGGACCATCAGATGTTAGACAGGTGAGTTGTTGGACCATCAGACCAGACATTAGACAGGTGAGTTGTTGGACCATCAGACGTTAGACAGGTGAGTTGTTGGACCATCAGACGTTAGACAGGTGAGTTGTTGGACCATCAGACCAGACATTAGACAGGTGAGTTGTTGGACCATCAGACCAGACATTAGACAGGTCAGTTTTGGACCATCAGACGTTAGACAGGTGAGTTGTTGGACCATCAGACGTTAGACAGGTCAGTTGTTGGACCATCAGACGTTAGACAGATGAGTAGTAAGACCATCAGTCGTTAGACAGGTGAGTTGTTGGACCATCAGACGTTAGACAGGTGAGTTGTTGGACCATCAGACGTTAGACAGGTGAGTTGTTGGACCATCAGACGTTAGACAGGTGAGTTGTTGGACCATCAGACGTTAGACAGGTGAGTTGTTGGACCATCAGATGTTAGACAGGTGAGTTGTTGGACCATCAGACGTTAGACAGGTCAGTTTTGGACCATCAGACGTTAGACAGGTGAGTTGTTGGACCATCAGACGTTAGACAGGTCAATTGTTGGACCATCAGACATTAGACAGGTGAGTTGTTGGACCATCAGACGTTAGACAGGTGAGTTGTTGGACCATCAGACGTTAGACAGGTGAGTTGTTGGACCATCAGATGTTAGACAGGTGAGTTGTTGGACCATCAGACGTTAGACAGGTGAGTTGTTGGACCATCAGATGTTAGACAGGTGAGTTGTTGGACCATCAGACCAGACGTTAGACAGGTGAGTTGTTGGACCATCAGACCAGACATTAGACAGGTGAGTTGTTGGACCATCAGACGTTAGACAGGTGAGTTGTTGGACCATCAGACCAGACATTAGACAGGTGAGTTGTTGGACCATTAGACGTTAGACAGGTGAGTTGTTGGACCATAAGACGTTAGACAGGTGAGTTGTTGGACCATCAGACCAGACATTAGACAGGTGAGTTGTTGGACCATCAGACGTTAGACAGGTGAGTTGTTGGACCATAAGACGTTAGACAGGTGAGTTGTTACTTTTGTTCAGAAAACTATCAACGTTGTCCCACACAGTGGCGTAGGCAGGGGGGGGGGTTAGACATCTCGGTATATATATAAAGTATGAGGGGGGTACAAATCGAAAGTTTGATGGGGGGGGTGCAAATCGAAAGTTTAAGGGGGTGGGTGCAAATGAAAGTTTGTCCCCGGTTAAAAATTGGACCCCCCCCCCCCTTGAGACGATCCTGGCTACGCCACTGTTCCCACAGAAAACTATCACCATTGTCCCACAGGTTCAGAAAACTATCACCATTGTCCCACAGAAAACTATCACCATTGTCCCACAGAAAACTATCACCATTGTCCCACAGGTTCAGAAAACTATCACCATTGTCCCACAGAAAACTATCACCATTGTCCCACAGGTTCAGAAAACTACTGCTGGGCATGACGCCACTAGAGCTGAAGGCGTATTTCGCCGAGGAGAAGAAGAAGTCCCTGTTTAACACGATGGCCACACTGACCCAAGACAATGAGCTCTACCCCATCCAGCTGGACATCCCATGATGGACGGCGCGTCGAATCTTCTAGACAAACTCTAGCTTGTGCTCGTGCACATTACAAAAGCTACTAAAGAAAAACGATGCTAAAGACAGTGGCTTGCTTGTCATTTGTTCCTTGTCCGACCTTTTGTTTCAGAGGCTTGCTTGTCATTTGTTCACTGTCCGACCTATTGTTTCAGTGGCTTGCTTGTCATTTATTCCTTGTCCGACCTATTGTTTCAGTGGCTTGCTTGTCATTTGTTCCTTGTCCGACCTATTGTTTCAGAAGCTTGCTTGTCATTTATTCCTTGTCCGACCTATTGTTTCAGAAGCTTGCTTGTCATTTATTCCTTGTCCGACCTATTGTTTCAGTGGCTTGTGTGTCATTTGATCCTTGTCCGACCTGTTGTTTCAGTGGCTTGCTTGTCATTTGTTCCTTGTCCGACCTATTGTTTCAGTGGCTTGTTTGTCATTTGATCCTTGTCCGACCTGTTGTTTCAGTGGCTTGCTTGTCATTTGTTCCTTGTTCGACCTGTTGTTTCAGTGGCTTGCTTGTCATTTGTTCCTTGTCCGACCTATTGTTTTAGTGGCTTGTTCGTTATCCTACGTTTTATTTTTCAATGGTAGAATGTCAGTAGTATGTTGCATAAATGGACAAACCAAGGCGGTGACAATAGGGGGGTACGGGGTTGTAATAATGGGTAGGTTACCTAGGGGAGGGAGTATCAATTTATGGGGTTGGGGGGGGGGGAGGATTGAGGTTGTTATAAGGGGTAGTAATAAGGGGTAGGTTACTCAATATAGTCACCTTGACCCAGGGGAGGAAGTATTATTTAAGACTGGTCAGTTGTGGACCACGGGGCCTTGACCCACAACCAGCGAACGGTGGTCAGTGTATGTTTTTTCTCATCAAGTTAGTATTATAGCTGGCATCTGATCAAGTTAGTATTATAGCTCGCATCTGATCAAGTTAGTATTATAGCTCGCATCTGATCAAGTTAGTATTATAGCTCGCATCTGATCAAGTTAGTATTATAGCTCGCATCTGATCAAGTTAGTATTATAGCTCGCATCTGATCAAGTTCGTATTATAGCTCGCATCTGATCAAGTTAGTATTATAGCTCGCATCTTATCAAGTTCATATTATAGCTCGCATCTGATCAAGTTAGTATTATAGCTCGCATCTGATCAAGTTAGTATTATAGCTCGCATCTGATCAAGTTAGTATTATAGCTCGCATCTGATCAAGTTCGTATTATAGCTCGCATCTTATCAAGTTAGTATTATAGCTCGCATCTGATCAAGTTAGTATTATAGCTCGCATCTGATCAAGTTCGTATTATAGCTCGCATCTTATCAAGTTAGTATTATAGCTCGCATCTGATCAAGTTAGTATTATAGCTCGCATCTGATCAAGTTAGTATTATAGCTCGCATCTGATCAAGTTAGTATTATAGCTCGCATCTGATCAAGTTAGTATTATAGCTCGCATCTGATCAAGTTAGTATTATAGCTCGCATCTGATCAAGTTAGTATTATAGCTCGCATCTGATCAAGTTAGTATTATAGCTCGCATCTTATCAAGTTAGTATTATAGCTCGCATCTGATCAAGTTAGTATTACAACTCGCATCTGATCAAGTTAGTATTATAGCTCGCATCTGATCAAGTTAGTATTATAGCTCGCATCTGATCAAGTTAGTATTATAGCTCGCATCTGATCAAGTTAGTATTATAGCTCGCATCTGATCAAGTAAGTATTATAGCTCGCATCTGATCAAGTTAGTATTATAGCTCGCATCTGATCAAGTTAGTATTATAGCTCGCATCTGATCAAGTTAGTATTATAGCTCGCATCTGATCAAGTTAGTATTATAGCTCGCATCTGATCAAGTTAGTATTATAGCTCGCAGAGTACAAGGGACCAGCGTAAATGGTTTGGGACGCTATGCGCGGTTGGTCGAAACATTTAAGTTGCAACGACAGCCGACACGTAAACCCAACCACCAAATGGCCGACACGTAAACCCAACCACCAAATGGCCGACACGTAAACCCAACCACCAAATGGCCCACACGTAAACCCAACCATCAAATGGCCGACACGTAAACCCAACCACCAAATGGCCGACACGTAAACCCAACCACCAAAACAATGGCCGACACGTAAACCCAACCACCAAATGGCCGACACGTAAACCCAACCACCAAAACAATGGCCGACACGTAAACCCAACCACCCAATGGCCGACACGTAAACCCAACCACCAAATGGCCGACACGTAAACCCAACCACCAAATGGCCGACACGTAAACCCAACCACCAAAACAATGGCCGACACGTAAACCCAACCACCAAAACAATGGCCGACACGTAAACCCAACCACCAAATGGCCGACACGTAAACCCAACCACCAAAACAATGAACCTTACCACCAGTACGACGGCCTATCCCCAACAAAACATTTTAGCATTTTTTTTTGGTATAATGCGAGTTGTGTAATATTTTATTTTCAATAAACATGTTTGGTACAATGCGAGTTTTGTAAAAAAAACCAATGTCGGAACGTAGGATGAAACGGTTTTAAATTTCCAATTACAATTTTCTAAGGCGGAAATACTCAGTAATCGAATTAAAAACGTAAATATTAATTACATTTTCTAGAACGAAAAAAAAAATGCTGTAATAAGCACGTGCAGACAAAACCCTTCTCCCCTGGAGATTAAGACAGTGCTGTAAATAGCAAGCGGGCGTGAGTACACAAGGGGCAATAGGTGGGTGTGGAAACCGTTGGTCTAGGGAGATCTAGAGTCAATGTACACGTGGAGCAATGGGTGGGTCAATGTACACGTGGAGCAATGGGTGGGTGTGGAAACCGTTGGTCCAGGGAGATCTAGAGTCAATGTACACGTGGAGCAATGGGTCGATATAAAATTGTTCCAATACAAGATATTCAGGTGTTAGATCATGTGGATTTAAATTGTTCAAGTAGAAGAGATTCATGTGTTAGACAGATTTAAATTGTTCAAGTAGAAGAGATTCATGTGTTAGACAGATTTAAATTGTTCAAGTAGAAGAGATTCATGTGTTAGACAGATTTAAATTGTTCAAGTAGAAGAGATTCACAACACGACTGACCTGATGTAGAAAGTAGGCGTATGTGGTGGCACAAACTGTCGAGTCAAGGTCACAAGCCTCGTTTCCGATCACAATGTGGACATGTTTTTTTACTCCCGAATTCAAGTCCGCCTGGTCAAATAAACAATAATATAATTAACACTGGAAGAAGCCATAATATTGATACAATAATATAATTAACACTGGAAGAAGCCATAATATTGATATAATAATATAATTAACACTGGAAGAAGCCATAATATTGATACAATAATATAATTAACACTGGAAGAAGCCATAACATTGATACAATAATATAATTAACACTGGAAGAAGCCATAATATTGATACAATAATATAATTTACACTAGAAGAAGCCATAATATTGATACAATAATATAATTAACACTGGAAGAAGCCATAATATTGATACAATAATATAATTAACACTGGAAGAAGCCATAACATTGATACAATAATATAATTAACACTAGAAGAAGCCATAATATTGATACAATAATATAATTAACACTGGAAGAAGCCATAACATTGACACAATAATATAATTAACACTGGAAGAAGCCATAATATTGATACAATAATATAATTAACACTGGAAGAAGCCATAATATTGATACAATAATATAATTAACACTAGAAGAAGCCATAATATTGATACAATAATATAATTAACACTGGAAGAAGCCATACTATTGATATAGTAATATAATTAACATTCGAAAAAGTCAGTACATTGACTTTATCACTACAGAAAGATAGAACATTTGAATAGCGATGGACAAAACAAATATTTAGTCTGATGCAATAGGCTGTACGTCTGCAGTCAAACAAAAACAACAAATACAAAGCCACTGTTTCAACTACATGTATCTGAACATTAGGTCAAGTTGAAATAAATTGAAATAAAATCTGTGCTAAACAATGCACTTGTCCAATCTTTAAATATAATGTCCCGCGTATCATTAAATACAAAGTGAAATGTCCACTTTCTAATCAACATTTGACAATTTGTTGTTATCGTCAAGATGTTATGGTTGTCTTGTGAGTTTGTCAAGTTTTTTCGTCCTTAAAGTTTCGTCCTTAAAGTTTTGTCCTTAAAGTTTTCCCTACTCCTACAGAGCACATATGTCAGCCGCACTCTTCTAACTTGACATTTTCACCCCCGTCTAAAGCCCACCAAGTTGATTGAGTTAGCCTTGACGCGGTTTTTATTAAAGTTCCAGTAACACATCTCGCCTGCTAGGTTGGTCTTGGTCCGGCACAAACACACGATGTTTTATTAGTGACATCACGTGATCGATAGGTCAGTTGTACGGCACAAAGACACGATGTTTTATTAGTGACATCACGTGATCGATAGGTCAGTTGTACGGCACAAAGACACGATGTTTTATTAGTGACATCATGTGATCGATAGGTCAGTTGTACGGCACAAAGACGATGTTTTATTAGTGACATCATGTGATCGATAGGTCAGTTGTACGGCACAAAGACGATGTTTTATTAGTGACATCATGTGATCGATAGGTCAGTTGTACGGCACAAAGACACGATGTTTTATTAGTGACATCACGTGATCGATAGGTCAGTTGTACGGCACAAAGACACGATGTTTTATTAGTGACATCACGTGATCGATAGGTCAGTTGTACGGCACAAAGACACGATGTTTTATTAGTGACATCATGTGATCGATAGGTCAGTTGTACGGCACAAAGACACGATGTTTTATTAGTGACATCACGTGATCGATAGGTCAGTTGTACGGCACAAAGACACGATGTTTTATTAGTGACATCACGTGATCGATAGGTCAGTTGTACGGCACAAAGACACGATGTTTTATTAGTGACATCATGTGATCGATAGGTCAGTTGTACGGCACAAAGACACGATGTTTTATTAGTGACATCACGTGATCGATAGGTCAGTTGTACGGCACAAAGACACGATGTTTTATTAGTGACATCACGTGATCGATAGGTCAGTTGTACGGCACAAACACACAATGAATTATTAGTGACATCACGTGATCGATAGGTCAGTTGTACGTAAACACATGAGGCTATGGGAGAAGGGGTTTGTTATATTGATACAAGAGGGGTGTCCAGCCCGCATGGGAACAGGGTACGTGACGCCACTAATTCCATACCCAAACGTTTCAATTGATTACATTATCCCTGAGCTGCAAACAGTTCGGACATGAAAAATTAAAACCTGATCAAGTTGGGGTCAAACTAATGGACTACTCTCATTTACCTAATGTCCGATCAAAAGGTCAGAGGTCATGTGGTATCCACTTCTCTAGCATAGTCCCACCCTGCCTTGTTATCTAATTCAATTTAGAACTACCAACATGCGGTACAGTGTACAGGAGTAGGTTTATCAAATCCGTATCGCCTTCTACGCTTTCGTCACACCCCCTACCCCGACATCAAATCACCGACACATTACCAGTTCATATCACCCCTACCTCACACGATTGTAGGAAAAAAAGTCACAGGAAAAAAAAAACACAGAAAAAAAGTCACAGGAAAAAAAGTCACAGGAAAAAAAGTCACAGTAAAAAGGCAAAAATATATATTTGCATGATATTTGATAATACTTTTAAGGATTAAATATTTAGAGAGTGCAAATTAACTTAGGATTAATTAAATGTAATGTAATGTGTGTAGGCTGTATATGCATAGAAATTTTTATAATTCATCTAAAAATATTTATTATGAAGTATGTAGAGTGTAATTATTTTAAACTTAAGATTAGTAGCATTTAATAGAATGCTCCAAAGTCTACGTTTTTCATCGTGTTTTTTTTTTTAAATACCAATATTAAACAACTGTGAAATGGTAAGTTCGTCTGACTTGCTGCCCTCATCTCATGGCGACCATAGTTATGTTTAGTTCAATCACCTTTACTGCCCACATTTATCACGCTCATTACATAACAAAACTTAGGATCAAAACAGAAAGCCGTCATTGACGCATAACGTCAACAACACAAAATATGTTCGGACAATGCCTACTGACTGAGGAGAGGCCGACCAGAGAATAGCCTACGGTAAAATATGCCTAAATTTCTTTTATAATTAACTTTTCAACCGCGTATTTAACAAAATAAGTAACAAAAGTTGAGATTGTTGTGTTAATTATCTTAGAGTATTTTTACTTACAATGGTTATAAATCATAATGCTTTTAACGTCTATAAATAATGTATGCTATAAAAAAATACAACCCACAACAATAAACAAACAAAATTTTACAATTCTTAACAAATTAACAAACATATTTCTAAAAAGATTTTTGTGACTTTTTTTCTGTGACTTTATTTCTGCGACTTTTTTTCCGATAAAATTTTTCCACTGTGACTTTTTTTCTGTGACTTTTTTTCCTAGCAAAAACTGTGACTTTTTTTTTCTGTGTTTTTTTTCCTGTGACTTTTTTTCCGTTCACCCCTCAGACATGTATGATCACCCTACATACGACGCTATAATAGTCTGGACTATAAAACACTCCCCCCCCCCCCCCACCAGACGGCCGGGTGGTGTAACTAAGACTCCAATCTAGTAAGAGAACCTTAAGCTAGTTGTGCCCCCCCCCCCCCAGACGGCCGGGTGGTGTAACTAAGACTCCAATCTAGTAAGAGAACCTTAAGCTAGTTGTGGCCCAGTTCACCCCCCCCCCCCAGACGGCCGGGTGGTGTAACTAAGACTCCAATCTAGTAAGAGAACCTTAAGCTAGTTGTGCCCCCCCCCCAGACGGCCGGGTGGTGTAACTAAGACTCCAATCTAGTAAGAGAACCTTAAGCTAGTTGTGCCCCCCCCCCCCCCCCCCCCCCAGACGGCCGGGTGGTGTAACTAAGACTCCAATCTAGTAAGAGAACCTTAAGCTAGTTGTGGCCCAGTTCACCCCCCCCCCCACCAGACGGCTGGGTGGTGTAACTAAGACTCCAATCTAGTAAGAGAACCTTAAGCTAGTTGTGCCCCCCCCCCCCAGACGGCCGGGTGGTGTAACTAAGACTCCAATCTAGTAAGAGAACCTTAAGCTAGTTGTGCCCCCCCCCCCCAGACGGCCGGGTGGTGTAACTAAGACTCCAATCTAGTAAGAGAACCTTAAGCTAGTTGTGGCCCAGTTCACCCCCCCCCCAGACGGCCGGGTGGTGTAACTAAGACTCCAATCTAGTAAGAGAACCTTAAGCTAGTTGTGCCCCCCCCCCCCCAGACGGCCGGGTGGTGTAACTAAGACTCCAATCTAGTAAGAGAACCTTAAGCTAGTTGTGCCCCCCCCCCCCCCCAGACGGCCGGGTGGTGTAACTAAGACTCCAATCTAGTAAGAGAACCTTAAGCTAGTTGTGGCCCAGTTCACCCCCCCCCCCACCAGACGGCTGGGTGGTGTAACTAAGACTCCAATCTAGTAAGAGAACCTTAAGCTAGTTGTGCCCCCCCCCCCCCCAGACGGCCGGGTGGTGTAACTAAGACTCCAATCTAGTAAGAGAACCTTAAGCTAGTTGTGCCCCCCCCCCCCCAGACGGCCGGGTGGTGTAACTAAGACTCCAATCTAGTAAGAGAACCTTAAGCTAGTTGTGCCCCCCCCCCCCCCACCAGACGGCCGGGTGGTGTAACTAAGACTCCAATCTAGTAAGAGAACCTTAAGCTAGTTGTGCCCCCCCCCCCCCCCAGACGGCCGGGTGGTGTAACTAAGACTCCAATCTAGTAAGAGAACCTTAAGCTAGTTGTGCCCCCCCCCCCAGACGGCCGGGTGGTGTAACTAAGACTCCAATCTAGTAAGAGAACCTTAAGCTAGTTGTGGCCCAGTTCACCCCCCCCCCCACCAGACGGCTGGGTGGTGTAACTAAGACTCCAATCTAGTAAGAGAACCTTAAGCTAGTTGTGCCCCCCCCCCCCAGACGGCCGGGTGGTGTAACTAAGACTCCAATCTAGTAAGAGAACCTTAAGCTAGTTGTGCCCCCCCCCCCCCCCAGACGGCCGGGTGGTGTAACTAAGACTCCAATCTAGTAAGAGAACCTTAAGCTAGTTGTGCCCCCCCCCCCACCAGACGGCCGGGTGGTGTAACTAAGACTCCAATCTAGTAAGAGAACCTTAAGCTAGTTGTGC